TATTGTTATCATATAATGTCATCCTAAAGTCTACCACATACTTTTGGAAAATTAGGCAGACCTGCAGAAATATATATCTTTTAGTATGCAATATATCTCATCTGCAGTCTAACAATAAACACATAATCGTGTTTCCTTTGTTTGATGAGATGGACTATGAATAATATTGAGAAATAAATTTATTTATATATGTCTGCCTAAGTATGGTTTTATGGTCAAGTCCTCCTAGTGCTGAAAGCAGATATATATATATATATATATATATATATATATATATATATATATATATATATATATATATATATATGTCAGGTTTTGTCTTTAGGACTCTGTACAAATAAGAAAACAGATCAATTTTTTCATGAAATACCATGGACAAGTATGAATATCTCTATTGTTACGTCATGCAATCATACTTGGTGTCAAAACTATAGTCTCTATTTGTTTGTTTTTAAAATGACAATTGAATGGAATATCATAAGGTCTTATAGTAACTCATCAGTTAAATAATCAAAATATACAAATTTAATTTAATTTTTGAAAACCCATGAGGACAAAGAGATCACGGCGTGTCACTCTAAAATATTTTTCTTGAAGCGGCATTGCACTCTGAAATCTGGAGAAATGAGACGTCATAATTCCTATTCTCATGAATTAAAAAAAATCATTTATCAAATATACTACACATTAATCAGCTACATTTAACACACCAATAAATTATTTACAAAACCTCATAATCAGCCCATTGAAGGAATTTTATACAATATATGAATCAAATATATACAACACATGGATCAGATATATACAATACATAAATCAGAAATATACAATACATAAATCTGATATATACAATACATGGATCTGATTTCTACAACCCATGGATCAGATAGGTATACAATACATGGATCTGATATACAAAACACATGAATCAGGTTATATAAACATTATCTATATCTGTAATATTCAATAAAGAAAGCATGTCAATCAATTATGTACACAACACTTTTATCTGATAAACAATAAATTCAACCGTAACACACATCATTTACATCAATTTATATAGAACATAAGATGTGAGAAAAAAGGTAGTAAAACACACTTCCATTTCATTACCTGAAATATGTGGAAGTACTATAAAATGTGAATTATGTATAAAGGAATTGTTCAAACAGTTTTAATTCACAAAGACTACTTAATACCGTAAATAAAAACCAAAACCCAGTTTTATCCATATTCTTTCATCAAATACACTATACATTAATCAGCTACATATAGTACATCAAAATATTATATATACAAAACCTCATAACCAGCACAATGAAGGAATTTTATACAATTTATGAATCAGATATATACAACACATGAATCAGATATATACAACACATGAATCAAATATATACAACACATGAATCAGATATATACAACACATGAATCAAATATATACAACACATGAATCAAATATATACAACACATGAATCAAATGAATCAACACATGAATCAAATATATACAACACATGAATCAAATATATACAACACATGAATCATATATATATACAACACATGAATCAAATATATACAACACATGAATCAAATATATACAACACATGAATCAAATATATACAACACATGAATCAAATATATACAACACATGAATCAAATATATACAACACATGAATCAAATATATACAACACATGAATCAAATATATACAACACATAAATCAAATATATACAACACATCAATCAAATATATACAACACATGAATCAAATATAAACAACACATGAATCACATATATACAACACATGAATCAAATATAAACAACACATGAATCAGATATATACAACACATGAATCAGATATATACAACACATGAATCAGATATATACAACACATGAATCAAATATATACAACACATGGATAAGATATATACAACACATGAATCAGATATACACAACACATGAATCAAATATATACAACACATGGATAAGATATATACAACACATGAATCAAATATATACAACACATGAATCAAATATATACAACACATGAATCAAATATATACAACACATGAATCAAATATATACAACACATGAATCAGATATATACAACACATGAATCAGATATATACAATCAGATATATACAATACATGGATAAGATAGGTATATACAACTCATGAATAAGATATATACAATACATGGAAATAAAATCATTTTGATAAAAAAAATATACATTACATTAATACGCAAGTAAACATAAACACTGGCCTTTAGTGAAAAGTACAAGTGAAATATTGGATATCAATGAATAAATACAAATAAAGGATAGGTCTATTTGAAAAAGTACATATAAAAATTTTGATCCTTTCCGGAAAAAAAATATACATATGAAATATTGGACCTAAATGAAAAAAATACATTTAAACAATAATACTAAGATGAATTTTCACTTGATATGTGGAATTCTGAGCAGAAGATATGTTTTGTAATGAAAATCACTTTGCTGTTAGCGACATTCAGTATCAGAGTATTCCTTATAAGCGTGTTTTACTGTAAGAGGAATTTCCGGAAAAAATTTGTTCCTAACGTTCGTTTTTTCATTTTGAATTGCCTCTTGCCTTCAACTAAACACACAACAACTTTCTCCCCATTCTTATTTTTAATATTAAGTAAATCAGGAAACTTATCAACCAGAGAGCTACATATTTTTGTTTGATTTTGGGCACAAGCGACGTGTAGGACCGTATTACACTCATTGTCCACAACATATAATAGATCTGGGTAAGACTCTATCAAGTAATCAAACATTGCCTGTTTGTCCACGTGACAACCCACGTGACAACAGAGGTGTAGGACGGTCTGACCGGAACCTGTTTTACTGTGGACATCTAGACCTTTCTCCAACAGAAACTTAAAGAGTTCTACGTTTCCCCCGATAGCTGTATCATGTAATGCATTTAACCCATCATTATCCTGAACGGTCAGTAGCTGTGGCTGATGACTGACTAAGTACTCACATATCTGCACTTTACCGTTAATACAACATTTGTGTAGGACTGTTTTACCTTTGTTAGTTTTATCGTAAACGTCTAAGCCTTCGTCTATCAAAAGCTTGAAAACTTTAATGTTTCCACCCCATGCTGCTTCATGTAATACAGTCTTTCTACCATAGTCACTAATTCTTACTAAGTCAGGATGATTCTCGACTATGTACTTACACATTTGAACCTTACCATTCATGCAGCACATGTGAAGGACTGTTTTACCTTCTTTTGTTTTACTGTTTACATTTAATCCTTTACCTATCAGAAACTTAAATAAATATACATTTCCACCCCAGGCTGAGCTATGTAACAGGGTTTCTCCATCATTGTCAATTTTTTCTATTAAAAAAGGGTAATTTTTTACCAAGAATTTACACATTTGTAACTTACCGTTCATGCAACAAAAGTGTAGGATTGTTTTGCCAGTGTTTGTCGTATTTGTAACATCAATGTTTTGCTTAGTTAGAACCTTGAAAACATCGATATTCCCTCCCCATGCCGCGTCATGTAACGCGGTCTTTCCTTTATTATCAGAAAGTTTGATCAAACAATGATAATTCTCTACTAAGTACAGGCATAATCCTATCCAACCATTCTTACAGCACAGATGTAAGACTGTTTTGCCTTTATTTGTTTTACTTTTTACATCCAAGTTGTGTTTTATCAAAAGTTTGAATATATCAATATTTCCTCCACAAGCTGCATCATGCAAAAGATTGCAGCCATCATTGTCAATACTTTTGACTAAGGATGGGTATTTACTGATAACATACTTTAACATTTCCTTTTGTCCTTTCTTACAACAGAAATGTAAGATTGTTTTACCTGTAAATGACGTATTTTTAACATCTATTCCTTTATCTAAAAGAAACTTGAGGATTTTAACATTTCCTCCCCTGGCTGTTTCATGCAAAACATTTATGCCACTACTGTCAACAATTTGCACCAAGTCAGGCTGATCATTAATCAAATACCTACACATCTGTAACTTACCATTTTTGCAGCAGTAGTGTAGGGCTGTTTTACCTTTATTTGTTGTTTTTTTAACATCTAAGTTTTTCTCTTTCAGAAACCTGAAAACATCTACATTACCCCCTCTTGCCGCATCATGTAACACATTTTTTCCATCATTGTCACTGATACTGACGAGTTCAGGATGAGCGTTGACTAAGTACTTACACATCTGAAAGTTATTACTCATACAGCACTGGTGTAGAACTGTTTTACCTACAGCTGTTGTACTTTTAATATCTAGGCCTTTGCTCAACAGAAGTTTTAAGACATATATATTTCCTCCAAAGGCTGCATCATGTAACACATTTTTGCCTTCAATGTCATCGATTTTGATTAAGTAAGGATAATTTTTGACTAAGAAACTACACATCTGTGACTGTCCATTCCTACAGCATCGATGTAGGACAGTTTCACCTACATCTGTTGTACTCTTAACTTCTAAGCCTTTTTCTATTAGAAGCTTTAAAATATCAATATTACCACCCCAGGCTGCGTCATGCAACACACTCTCCCCCTTATTGTCATTGATTTTTAGTAAGCCAGAGTAATTGTTGACCAAATGCTTGAACAATTCTCTTTTCCCATTTAGACAAGATTCATGCATGACTGTTTTACCGATGTATGTTGTAATTTCAACATCTAAGCCTATTTGAATCAAAAACTTGAAAATATCAACATTACCTCCCCAAGCTGCATCATGTAACAGATTTCTGCCATCACTGTCCATACATTTGACTAACTCGGGGTGTATTTGGACCAGGTACCTACAAAGTTCTAATTTACCATTCCTACAACAGTAATGTAGGACGGTTTTACCGGCATTTGTTTTACTGTTAACATCTAAGCCATTGCTTATTAGAAACCTGAAAATTCCAACGTCTCCTCCCCATGCTGCGTCATGTAATACAGTCAATCCATCATTGTCTTTGAATTCGAACAAGTGTTGATAGTTATTGACCAAGTACTTACACATGCCTAGGGTTCCTTTTCTACAGCACCAATGTACGACAGTTTTACCTTGATCTGATGTGTTTTCTGCATCTAATCTTTTTTGGTTCAAAAACTTAAAAATTTCAACATTTCCTCCAAAGGCTGCACAGTGTAATGCAGTCATTCCATCATTGTCAATGATATTAACAACGCAAGGGTAATTACTGGCTAAGTACTTACACATCTGTAAATTACCATTCATACAGCACAGGTGTAGAACTGTTTTACCTTCATTTGTTGTACTTGTTATGTCCAATCTTTTGTCTACAAGGAGCTTAAAGATATCAACATTTCCTGCAAAGGCTGCTTTATGTAGTACACTTTCTCCATTATTGTCAATTACTTCTACTAGCTCAAGGTAATTCTTCACCAAGTACTTGCACAACTGAAAGTTACCATTCATACTACTTTCGTGTACGGCTGTATGACCATAATTTGATGTACCTTTAACATCTAAACCTCTCTCCATCAGATTCTTGAAAATATTGATATTTCCCCCCCAAGCCGCAGAATGCAACACATTAAACCCCCTGAAGTCATTTTTTTTTACCAAGTCTGGGTGCTTGTTGACCAGGTACGTACACATCTTGTATTTTCCACTTAAACAGCAAAGGTGTAAGACTGTTTCACCTTGATTAGTTGTGCTATTAACATCTAAGCCTTCTTTTATGAGTAACTCGAAGATTTCAATGTTTCCTCCCCAAGCTGCCTGAAGTAAAACAGTCCAGCCATCATTGTCAATGATTTTTACTAAATCAGGGTAGTTTGCTAGAAGGTACTTACACATATCTACCTTACCATTCATACAGCACATGTGTAGAACTGTTTTGCCGCTATCTGTTTTGCATTCAATATCTAAGACTTCATGAAACATACACTTGAAAATATCAACATTTCCTGCCCAAGCTGCCTGATGTAATACTTTATATCCATTTCGCATTTTGCATTCAAATAATTTTGAATGATATTTGACTAAATACTTACACATTTCAAGTTTTCCATTCAAACAAGCCATTCCTATTGGATTATCCTGGCAAAACATAATTGATAAAGAGGCATCCTTTTTTAAAAGGTATTTATATAGCTCAATATTTCCTGACTGCGCAGCCCAGTGGAGAGAAGAGCGGCCATGATAGTCATCAAATTCCTCTGTGAGTAAATCAGGATATTTATCACAGATATACTTCACCAAGTCTAACTTACCATTTTGACAAGCGTAATGAAGAACAGTAGAGCCATGATGACTCCTAGAATAAGGATCGGACCCATTTTGTATTAACGTTATAAAAGCATCTTTCTGTCCGGCATATGCAACAAAATGAAGTGCATTCCCACCTTGGCTATTTTGTACATCAAGTACTGATGGGTAATGCTCAATTACACGATTTATAAGTTGATTTTGTCCAAGGAGACAAATTTCATGAAGCAAGCTTACTTTCAGAAATAAATGATTAGGATGGTTTGAAAATTCTGTTTGATAAACATCTACGTTTTCTGTGAAACGGAACAGCATCTCAGCATTTCCACTTTGCACAGCATAGAAACAAGTTTTGAGGTCATAAACAACACCTGTCTTTAGAAGCATGTCCACAACATCAACATGATTGTAACTGCAAGCCTTGTTCAATGACTTATATATTTCTTTTTCTGGTGAATTGTGCAGCAGAAAGGCAACCATTTTTGCATTACCTGCTTTTGAGAAATGAACCAACATAGAATCATCTCTTGCATCAAAACTATCCCTCATTGCCATTACGCACTCCTTATTCTTCATAAATTTATCCGTAAATTCATTGTTTGCCCAAAGTTCCATTAAAGATATTGATTTAAATGCAGACACTGTTTTCATTTCTGAAATCACCACTCTTATCCTTTCAATCAAGTGTGAAAAAATTTCGACCTCTATTGTAAATTTGTTTGGCGACGTGTGTGAAGAAGATAAGGAAACCAACAAAGATGGGTCACAAGAAGAAAAAACTTCCCTTGAAAAATATTGGCAAAGATATTGAAAAAAACTCTCTTGGACGGAACTGTGCGAAATTCTGTATGACTGTTCAATATCATCACGTATCACAAATACATCTTTAAACCATTCAGAAGAATGGTTCAATTTCTGTAGTGTTTCACTGTTTTCTCTAATTCCTATGATATTCATGGCTTTATACTTTCTTTCCACGTCCTCAGACGGACGCTCTAATGTATCTATACTAATGCTTCCTCCACACAAAAGAAGGTAAACAAGAGCAACTGTCTTAACTTCTTTCTCTTTTATTCTGCTTTCAATTTGTTTCTGTAAAAAAAGAGGAGTATCCGTAAAGAGCTGTTGTACATCCATATTGGGGCTTAATTTGTTTCGCAATAATGTAAAACATTGTGGAATTCCCACTGAATTTCCAAGGTTTTTAACTTGTAAATTATTTAAATCTGGAACGTCTTGTTGTAAGCTGTATTTTTCCACAAAATCTTCTAATTCTTTTCGGTTCAACTGATTTTGTTCATCAGATATATCAATTACAGATGAATTGATCAAATCATTATATCTTAGTACGTCTGTACATTCTTTATATATATCGTTCCTAATCGTCATGATTAAAACGTTGCCATTGTCATCCTCTTTTGATACAGTAGCTTTTAAAATTTCTTGCCGAACTTCGAAATCATGCAACTCATCTCTTAATAAAGACCCTATACCAAATAGATTATCAATGAAAATTGCTATTTTAGAGTTCATTGGTATTGGTTCAATATCTTTAATTGAAAATATCTCTAATGGATCCATTCCATCCTGTTCAAGTTCAAAAAGGATATGTTTAGCAATTGTTGTCTTTCCAGCCCCAGAGTTTCCCTTCACAAATATATAGCCTTGGTTGTTAAGAGCATTTATGACTTTTTCATAGGTTCGTGTCTTGACAAAAAAAGGACTGACTTTCCTTTGGAAATCACTCAAAACTTTTCTGTTTTTTTCTGAAAAAAAAATCATTATATAAATTTTCTTCTGCGCCGCATTTACATATATTTGATGTTTTGGTGAATTTAAATAGACTCTAAATCATTCAAATGCAATCACTAAAATATTTTATTTTTCTATATAATACATGATATTCGTAAAATTCGTAATTTAGTCGCCTTTACACCCACCCACCCCTTTTCTTTTCCACATAAAACAACGTCGTGTGTTAAGAAAGGAAATAAAGCATGGAAAGAAATTTATTTCACCATGTAAGAATTATTCAATTTTTAGACGCTAATACAGTGTTACAATCGTTTGTTATTGTTATTTAAACCCATTGCGACTTATAAAAATAGCTAGGTGGATGAAATAAGTCCTATTTTTGTGTTTTGATATGTTCCCTTTTCACTGTTATAAAGTCTACCTCCAATTTTTATTTCATATTTCAAAAGAGGAATGAAAATCGCATGATATATGTAAAAAACAAAACATTTCATCATTTGTTCTTTTTTAATTTGTCAATTTCTTTGTTTATTGGGGAGTTTTAGTATGTAATTGTGTACAAATTTGAAAGAGACATGCTATGGAATACACTGATAAAATTAAAAATAAATAAATAAAGTATTAGATTGACGCTTAAATTTGACTTTTAATAAATGAGCAGATATAACATCTAAGTTTGATAGATACTTGAGTATCGTTCTTTGTACATTTTCTTTTTCTAAGTCAAACAAAAATAATATTAATTAAATAAAAGAAAGAGGGAAATTAACGAAAATCACCATTGTTCATTGCAATTTTTATTTTTTATCATATATCTTCAATTTGTAAAAAGGAAACTAAGAACAAAAATCTTCCATCCCTCCTGGGTCTGAAAACCCCCAGGCGGCAATTCCAAACAAACGTTTTATTAAAGGATGGCAGTATACTGTATTTTATTTCTTGCAAAGCATATCCTCTGTCCTCTAATTATACAGAAGACGGATAATTTCATAATCCAAATCGAATGGCGAGGGAAAAATTTAACTACTTACTTAGAGCATGCTTCACACAATAAATTAAACCCTTTGTGTCTCTCTTTATTTAATTACCAATATTTGTGTGTTTCATATCATTTAATCAAGATAACGATAGCTTGACCTTGACTGTTGCACTTTTGTACAGGTTGATTATAATTATACCCTCGGGGTAATATGTATCTGTCAGGTGACGGTCTACAGTGAGTAGATTTCAAACATAATACAGGCTCACTTCTATAGATTAAAAAATCTCTGTATGAAGATAGTCATTCCTTTTCAATGGGTTTAATATAGGGGCATTTTAGTTTTGTAGACACATGCATTATTAAACATTTGTTTTGGGTTGTAAAATTGATAAATTTCTCATGGAAAGCAAAGAAATCCAAAGAAAAAGAAAAGCAGGAAAAGAAAGATTTTTGGCCAGATATACATGTACTATTTAAGCAATATAGGAAGGTTTTTATTTATTTTTTCATATTCTAATTTTGACCTAAGTTGAATAATTTATGAAGAGAAACAGGGGAAGAGAAATAGATATTTCTTCCTGTATAATTTATGTAAATATATAGATTTTCTTTGACTATGTAGCACATCAGGGTCCATTATTCATTGTCTGTGACCTTGTCCTGTGTCCATGATTGTTATCTATCATTGGTAATGATTTGCTAAATAATTATGCACACAACGCCAGAGTTACCAAACCATGAAGCTTGGGCTTGGGGTGTACCAAGTGATTTGGTAGCAGAAAAAATCCTTTGTTCGAGGTATGAAACATGTACAAAGCAATTTATATTTAGTTTTTGCATATTTGAATTCATTTCTACGAGCTCAAACCAATCTTTAAATATAGATGTTAAGAAATCTCTATCTCTAAAGTCACATCAAATACCTTTTGTATGACGTCATATTGTATAGGCAAGTAGACTATTTTGTTGTAGTCTTTACATACCTGTGTAAAGAATAGAATGAACCAGAGAGGCCACCCTTGATCCAATGAATGGTGGAGAACAAAGAATAACAAACAACAGAGAAACTTTCAGCCAAGAACAATTAACGCCGGACTGTGTACACAAACCCACAAACAAAATGCAGGAGTACGTAGATCAGGAGGCTTAGAAACTTGATAAAAGAATTCAGTTGTGTTGTAATCGGTGGAAGTCAAAGGTCATAGAATGCAGACAAAATACAAAGACAAGTCTTGTGACGAACGTCTCGAAATTTAGATACAGGTAATAAAAACAGCTGGAAGAGGTCTTTGAACTGTTGCTACGAGTGCTCCAAATCAAAGTTTAGTTCGGAAGGTGAATGCGTATTTCGCTATCTCAAAATACATGATTCATCTGATCAATGAAAAAAAATCAAATCAGGATTTGGAGACACAATAGACATTCTTAATGGTTTGAAGCATAATGTGTATGCTAGATCTGTGTTTAGTAATTAGAAACTGTCTTATGTCTCGGATAGTGACTCTGTAGTCTCTACTGTCTACCAAGTTTGTGGATGCCCTTGCAGACGTAGCAACTAAAAGCGTAAAACTGAAGTTGATAAAGAAAAAGAAGAAGAACATGCAGAAAACGAAGTCTGAAGAACTTCAAGAGCAGCAAAAGAAATTACTAGAAACCCAATAATAGAAAGTGAGAAAAATACAAGCGGAGCAGAAAGTTGCAATGGCCGAAGTAAAACTCTAAGCTGATCTGATGCAAGGCATGTGAACATCACTGCAGCCACTCAAGTAGTCATCAAACTGGCCATTATTTTGTCACATCTGTTGGTAGCCAAACAGCTGTTGCCCCAGTTGCTTGGTCTATTATACGCAATCCTACTGTTGTATTTGTCATCATACTGTATAAGGAAAAATATCGCCTTATACACCATTTAGCTCCACTATAACCATGCTGCAGCCAAGTCAAATAGCACTGTAACTGACGATTCTGCAACAGGTATCTTAGCAAAGCAAAGGTGTTTGCAGACTCAATATTAATATACTCCCCATACCTAAGCCCTCAGTGTTTACTGGAGATCCACTTAGATTCGTACAATGAAAGACGTCCTTTCATGCATAAATAGAACGTAAGGACATTCCAGAGCTAGAATGATTCTTTCATCTTTAAAGAAACATATTAGGAGACACACAGTAGGCCAAATATGGATTCTTCTACAGCGAAAGCATCTTAACATATGAAAATGTCAGACAGGACAGATAAGGACAGCCGTTTTTTATGCAGCAGGAAATTTCGGAAGAGACTTTCAACTAATCTATCAAGATTTACCGTCTCAGGTTCCAAACCTCAAAATTCTAGACGACTAGAACTGCTTCGAAATTCAGAAACTATTGAGCAAACTTCTTCATTAGGCTGAAATGTGTTGATATCGCCAAGTTAAAAAACTGTTGATTCAGCTGGTGAATATCCGTCATTCTCAAAGTCTCGACTGTCGACTTTGTTGTAAAGTAGGCTTGCATTGCTTGTAATCCACTCTGCCAATCTTTGCACTCAAGGACACTGACACAGATCCTACCAGAGAACACAAAAACAGCAATTGCAAATTAAATGTCTGGGCAATGACTTCAACCCATCAGCATAACACGACAGGACCTGAAACAAACCCTGAATTGTGCGAAGTCATCCTTTGTTCAAGTATGAGAAATTTACTGTCTTATCTATAGATCACAAAACGAGCTGAAGTCTGTGTTTTCGATGTCTACGCAACAGCAACAGAAACAAAGACTGCAAAAGGGAAAAAAAACATGTCGTATCTACAGGAAATCTTCAATCTGTACATCGT